GGTTAACAGTGACAAAATAAATGAATATAACTGTTAGCCACTTACTCCATCTGCACAAAGGTCATGTAAAGTAATTTAAAAAGGTGCTAAAGGAAAAAAAAATCACCGTAAAAAGTAGGATCTGTCTATAAACCAGCGAGAGTAATTCACTCCTGACAAGACTGTAAAAATTTATTTTACAGTTAAAGATATTTGGATAAAATTAAACACATAATTAGAGCACATTTAACAATTGTTTTAAACGTCATCTGCAGTCTTCAGGTCTAGTAAATTACACTATGAACACAGAGTTCAGTATTATTCTGTATTAACAAAAATAAATATTTATTGATTATGTTTAAGTCTTCAAAAAACAAATGTTTTACAAACCACCACGTGGAGTTAAAAGTTCTAACAAATCTTTCAGCAACATCTTCTGAACCAGAGTCATATATTTAATATTATATATATAATGCATTATAAATAAATAAAAACTTTAGATTTCAGAGTGCATTTGTGTATTTTGAGAGATTACTGCAACGTGATTGTTTGGTTACAGACCTTTACACCAAAACCATTGCAGTTTTTAGCAAAAGTAATATAACTGTAAAAAGTGGCAAGGTAAATATTTTATTAAAACCTTTAAAAATAAAATAAATCATAAAAATTTACGTAATTACTGTATAATTCAGATTATATGTCTCTGCTATTACAGCTCAACACTAAAAGAAAAAAAATGTGGAGTGAAACCTGACATCTATAAACTATATGTACAGCGCATGCAATGTATTTTACAACTGAACAATAAATATTGACCAAGTGATGCTTCACTGCATTAGTAACAGTCTATAAAGTATTTAGTTTGAAGCAGGATGGCCCTCTGATTTACACATTCACATAAAACTCAAAATAGTATTGACACATACACACAAAACAGATGGCTTTGCTGTTACAAGTCGGATGTGCATATACTTTATTGCACTGGTGAAAGTAGCTTCATACATAAATTGGTTTGTTTTTCTTTTAGGTGCTCTGAGTTATCTGGAGCGTTAATAAATCTAAATCAACAACTGACATTGTTGATTTTGGATTGAGACACATTTCCTGTGAGACCCAGGACACGCTGGAGCGAGTCCTGTTTCTCAGCTGGCCTGGGAACACCTTGGGATTCCCCCAGACGAGCTGGCCCAGGTGGTTGGGGAGAGGGAAGTCTGGGTCTCTCTGCTTAGGCTGCTGCCCCCGAGACCCGATCCCGGAGAAGCGGAAGAAAATGGACGGACGGACACATTTTCTGTTTCTAGTCCATAGCTTCATGGTAGAAAGTCTGTAAGAGYCATGAGACTATGGCATAATGAGGGCCAAAAGTAAGACTACATCCTTTTAGCAGGAGGTTATATATATTCCTAAACCAGCTACTGATCTGATTAATGATAGGCCGACACTGGTAACTCAGCAGCTGACCCCGGTAACTGAGAGGTCAGCGCTGGCAAAAGAGAAGGAGACTGTTCAGTTGTGTTAGCATTGGAGAGGCTAATAACTAGCATGGATAAGCTGGTGTTAGCGTTGGAGAGGCTAATAACTAGCATGGATTAGCTGGCGTTAGTATTGGAGAGGCTAGCGACTAGCATGGATAAGCTGGCATTAGCATTGGAAAGGCTATCAACTAGCATGCCTAGGCTGCTCACCTACTTTATTAGACACAAACTTTTTTGAATAAAGAAAACTTTCTCAACAAAAATGGTTGACATTAAAAAAAACTATAAGCGACATGCACTGACAGGTGTTCCTTAGACAGAATTTACTGTTCAACATGACGTCAAGCATAAATATTTCAACATAAAACATTTTACGGTGAAACATGGTAGTTTTTTTTTCCTGTCAGTAGCAGGGTATTGAATTAGATTTATCTATATTGAATTATAATTTATAATATCTTATGCAAATCCATTCATTCATCCAACCATAAATTATACAGTATTGACTGTATTGAAGTCTGGGGTAAAGCATGTAAAACAATTACAAATCCTATTTTTATTTAGCAGAAAAGAGCCATAAAAAGAAAAAAACATTACTGTCGTTTTACGAGTTGGTTGATTATAATATTTTGCTGTTTATGTATAAGTCTCATAAAGTATTCCCTTTGAGCATCCAATCAAATTTTAAGAGGGAAAGTTGTTATAATCTTAAAGGATTGGAAATGTTTGTAAAACCTACAATTCGAACAAATTTAAAGGACAGATGTACTTTGGTACAGGGAATGCGATTATGGAATAATTTGGATAGTGATTGTAAAAATGCTGGTTCCGTTTATTTAAAAGAATGGTAAAAATTAATTTGTTAAAGAAATATGAAACAATTTCACATTTCTTTAACAATTTAATTTAACTAAACTTAATAATAAATTGATGGATGGATCTTGTTGCTAGCCAT